ACATTAATGTTGTACTAAAACAAAGACACCTATTGACTATGGCGACCTAGTGCACAACTCTCTCGGCCAACATTTACTTTACTTACGCAAGTATATTTTAATTTTTTTTAATTTAAATGTACATACGGCATGCAAATAAATTGCCCTATTATTATTTTTTTATGTAAACAGGACTTCATTTCCTGTGTAAAATGCTGCTAAAGATATTCAAGATTCCACAGAAATATAATTTCAGATTTTGATAGGAGCAATGAGTGTTTTGAACTCTGCGTGGTCTCTAAGAATAGATCAAACCATCAGAAGAATAGATGTGAACCTCACAGCCTCTAGAGGTCACACTTTAGATTTGTATTGTGAAACCTCCTGCCACCAGCAGGATCCCTTCATGTAGCTACATGTAACTCTGTAAATAGTCATAAGCTTTATTCGTCCAGCACTTTTTGCAACAGAAAATAACACATTCAATTTAAGACAGAGGCTAAAACACATTATCACACATGCAGCACGTTTACATAATACAAACATAATTCCCCAAAAGTATAGGAAGCAGAAGATTAAAAACAATAGATAACTCACTCAGTAAAACCAAGACAGAAAGAAGACACAATTCAGAAATACTAGGCATTTAGAAATATAAATGCAAAACGAAGGCCTATATAAATAAATACAGATCGTTTAATTGATCAAAGTACGTTTCCAGCGGTTTCACCCTCGTATAGTTTCAGGTTAGGTGTTTTTTGGGGGGGAATTTTGGGAATATTTGAAAAGCCTGCTGCAGAGGACCTTAGGGTTTGATCAGGGATATAACCGATAGACATAAAAGAATGCTAGACCATTCAGAGCTTCGTATACTAGTTGAAGGATTTTAAAATGTGTATTTGATATGTTCTAATTGTAGCTCATCCCTTCAGCATGATGTGATTTATACATTTCTGTCATCCCAGCTACTCTGCACTGAAGAAGGACGGCCAGCGCCTGTCTGTCCTGCTGAAGAAGGGCCACAAGGTGGAGGCCAAACCAGCGCGGGCTGTCACCGTGTACAACCTGACCCTGCAGGAGTTCACCGCCCCGCTCTTCACCCTAGGTCAGCACAAGCTCTCTTCATCTCCGCAATACTGACTTATGAATTTCTGTTATCTAATGTCATTTCCTTCTTTTTCCCTTTTGTATTTGTACTCTGACAGATATTGAGTGCGGTGGTGGATTTTATGTCAGAAGTTTGGTAGATGACCTGGGAAAAGGTGAGATTCAATCATTTACTCCTCAAGGCAAGTTTATTTATATAGCACCTTTCAACACAAGGCAATTCAAAGTGCTTTACAAAAAGGAAAGACATTAAGAAAATGGCATTTAAAAACAGTCAAGATAATAAAATAAACATTAAAAAAAATACATGAATACAAGTTACAGTGCAGTGTAAGATAGGAATAGTTCAATTAAAAGCAGCGGCAAATAGAAAAGACTTCAGCCTGGATTTAAAAGTAGTCAGAGTTGCAGCGGACCTGCAGGTTTCTGGGAGTTTGTTCCAGATATTTGGAGCATAATAAGTGAACTTCTCCATGTTTAGTTCAGACTCTGGGGACAGAAAGCAGACCTGTCCCAGAAGACCTGAGAGTTCTGGATGGTTCATCATTTAGCAGGAGGTCAGAAATGTATTTTGGGCCTAAACCATTCAAAGCTTTATAAACCAGCAGCAGTATTTGAGATCAATTCTTTGACACACAGGAAGCCAGTGTAAAGACTTCAGAACTGGAGTGATGTGATGTAGTTGACTAATCAATCAGAAACCAGCCCTGCTAACACCTGTGTCCCTGTGTGCTGCAGCTCTGTCGTCATGTGCTCATGTGAAGGAGCTAACCCGGACCAAGCAGGGCCAGTTCACCCTGGAGGAGCACGCCCTGCAGGAGGAGCAGTGGAGCCTGGAGCACATCCTGAGGGCCCTGCAGCCCTGCCCCGAGGCCCTCAGCTGAGCAGGAGGAGCAGTGGCCACATGGAGCATCTTCTGTCAAAAAGGAGCATGGCCGGACAATAAGGAGAGCCTACTCCTGGCGTTCCATACCAAAACAAAATCACAGCGTTTATTTGAAATTGTTAATTTCACAACTGTATCTGGACAACTCATCACCGCTGTTGTGTGACGGACTAGCATCGACCCTTTGGATTTTATAACGGGTTTGTGCTACAATATATTTGTTTAAATAGTTTTTTACCATGTACTTCCACGAGAAGATTCTTGCTCTCATATTTGGAATGAAGGAGCTTCAGCGCTCAGTCCGACAGCCGCAGAGCAAGGCGACAGAAGGCAGCAACATCCAAGGTCTTCTCAGACCATCTGCTCAAATAAATGGGCCTTTTGGTCTTTGTAATGTCTCAAAGACATAGCCTAAAACAAGCTTCTACTGCGATGTCACCAGCTTTCTTCTGAAATGTACCGAAAATATTTTGGCGTCATACCCACTCTCCTCATTGGAAACGATTGAAACAACATTGGGCACAGGCCCAAAGTCAAGACTCACCTGCTCAGCTTTCCTGTGAAGAGAACATTCCGTTAAACCTGTTTTACATAAAGAAACACTTGTGTGGTGTTTGTCACTCAGCAGGGTCGTTTGACAATCTCAACCACAAATGGCGCCTGATGCCACAGCCGATAATGGGCAAGTGATGTTGATCTCTCCTGGGGAGCAGGTGGCACCTCGCAGGAAGCCTCTACCTGGTTTATATGTTTGATCTGATGGGATGTTCAGTTATGAAAAGGAACCTTTAGTAAAGCACCCGTTACCTCTTCTGTAGCACGACTGGAGAATACACTTACGAAGTGAATGGAAAGGGTTAATGCCTGCAGTTTGCTCTAAACGGTGCTCTTGAGTTAATTGTCATGCAAATAAAAACTATTTCTGTTGATCCAAACAATTTGTCCACGGTTTGTCCAGTTTTGTTTCTAACATCCCATCTGTAAGTGCCACATCTGTAAGTGCCACATCTGGAGTGGTGTGATTATACTGAATGTATAATTATTAAAATGGAAAGTGAAAACATTCTTCTTTGTTAAATTCTTTGATTTAGAAATACCAACATGATTTACAATAGAGGTTGAAGCATCACTCTTGTCTTTTCCGATGCGTTATTGGCTGACGCAGGGGAACGTCTGAGGCCCCCAAAACTGCAATGTCATATCATTTAGTTCTACAGCAGCTGGAACCACGGCATGGTCAAGGCATAGAAGACATGCTCTGTGTCGGTGTCTTGTTTCATATTTCTCTCAAAACGTTTTATTTTAGTTTTAACTTTCTTTGTAATATCATAAGATCATAAGATCAGTGTGGAGCAAATACGGCACTATCTTTACTGGTGTCATGTCGTTTCATTGCACCCTCTTCTTCTGAATGCTTGAATGGCAGCAGTTTGTAAAGCACAGGAAGATATCCAGGCCAGGATTTATTTTGTTCTCCAGTCCAAGGACTTTGGGGGAAAGCCGTTCACCATCATTTGCAAGAGCACGTTCCGAACAAATTCGTAGTATCTAAGTAGTTTTGGGTTAGCTAAGTTCAGTGCATGGATGACTCCCTGAATCATTGCACAATCTCTCCCTACAGATCCAATGTTGTCCAGAATGATAAGTCCTTCGAAATCCCTATGTCATCATAGTGTCCAGTTTCTTCACCCCCCTATTGGAATACATACAGTATACGCCCACAGTGGATGCCTCTTCACTGTCCTGTATATT